TTTACAAAGACATTTGTACTATCCAGATCGGAAACTGCAGCATGGCTGGATCTATGAGACAGCTGTATTAAAATATTAACAAGGAAGTACAAGCACTGTTTGGGCCTTGAAAAGACTGACCAATTCTGAAGTAACAGCCAGACTAATTAAATAAAACTAGCTTTAAGATTTGCTAAAACATAAAAAAAAATCCTAATTACACAGACAAGCTTAATACAACGTAAGACATGAGTGTCCCTACAATTTAATTTGAGTCTTATTTGTGCCACAGCCGAAGACAGAATTCCAAACACAGAAGAGTTTTCTTGAATATCCTTCCCTCCACATGCCCCTCCACAAAATACCAGCAAAAGACAGGGATTATAGGAAGAAACAGCAGAGGGAGATAAAAAACAGTGTGATATAAAATATAGCATAGCTACTGAATCTAAGAAAAACATTTCAATACATGTGATAAATTAAAACAAACAAAAAATTAAATTATTGCACCAGCTGGGACAAAGGGGCTGTACCTTCTTACATCAGGCACACCAGCCTGAAAACCTGAAAAATACCTTAGGAGGAAACCCATGTTGGTAAACATCACGCAAATCACTAATTGTCATTTCAACAAAAATCACAGCAGAAGAAAACATTTTAAAGCATACTGAGTTTTTTTAACCTTTGTATACAATACTTTCTTTTTTCCTTATCGTTTTATTTAAAACAATTTTTTTGTTAAAGCGTTTAGCTTTTAGGACATCAGTGAGTCACTATGCAGGAGATGAGTCACTGTTCAGGAAATTGATGGAATCTCTCTTGTAATCATACATCAATATTTAACATATATAAATATCAATTTCAGATGCAGGATCTGAAATTTAAAGTGACAAAGATCAGCAGAGCTTGCCATAGACACAGGTAGTGTGTAAGCCAAAAGAAAGACTAAGAATCACCCTAAGGGGGGAAAAAGCCTGTTTAAGATGAGATAAAGAGTTTTAATGCCAGGATATTGTGGGTAAACAGTTCCAGATTTTGCCCAGTCACTTCTTTGACTGAGCCAACTTGTCCTTTAAGGCAATGGTCTCCGAAGTGGGGTTTGTAAGGCAATAATTTGGGCTAGGGTAAGAAAATATTTTTTGTACTGTTAATAAACGAAAAAGAAAATAGTGTTTATTTCATCTTTATCTCATCCTTTTTAATTTCTATTTTTGTGTATGTTTTATAATGTACTTACATTAGTACAGTCATACATGTATGCAATTTATAAATAAATATATATATCTATATTGGGGGGGTGTGCTCAGAATTTTTTTACTGATGGCATGTGCAATCAAATGTCTCTCTGCTCCAAAATACATTCAACACTTCTTTGCAGGATCTTAGAGGAGGAAGAAGTGGCTGCCTCTGCAAGGTTTGAATACTCCAGGATACAGTTCCTTGATGATTTGGGATCCCTCTCTGGATACAGTTCCTTGATGATTTGGGATCCCTCTCTCACCACATTTTGAATGTTATGGAATTCAAAAAGTTTTCTTCAGTTAGACGTGCCAGGGATCACAGGCTTCTCTTGGCTGTCCTCCTGTGAGCTGTTATTTTCAAGCACCTAAGAGCTGTTAATTTAAGCACTTTAAAGCCTTAACAACTGCCCCACCATCGTCACTGTAAAAACACGCTATTTCTATAGAAGCCAAAAGCACTGTTCTCTAATGTTCGATTACAAGTCCCAGACAAAAAACACATCCCAGCGATGGCAAACATTTCTGAAGAAAGCAAATGAAAGCCAGAATTTGCCTCATCATTATAACAATTGACACCTACCACTAGGCAATCACTTCATCTGGAGATGGTGAAAATGGTAAACCAGCAAGCTGTTCTTAGAATAGAACAGAATAGTTCCAATTGAAAGGGACTTATGATTGTCTAGTCCAACTGCCTGATCACTTCAGGGCTGATCAAAAGCTAAAGCGTATTATTAAGGGCATTGTCCAAATGCCTCTTAAACACTGACAGGCTTGGGGCATTGATCACCTCTCTAGAAAGCCTGTTCCAATGTTTGACCACCCTCTCGGTGCAGAAATGTTTCCTAACACCTAGTCTGAACCTTCTCCTCGATCAGCTGTGCATTAGTTTAAACATGTCTGACTAATGATCAGGTGGTCTAGTGCAGTTTCACTTTTCTAATTCAGTTTGCCACCCGACACCTGCCAGCAAAGTGAGGCATCCAACCCCCAGATGGGTGGGCATGTTACTAAGAAATCCAATTCAGTTAGAGACACAAAAAAAATGTTACTCTTTTGTGAATAACTAATTTGATAAATTTTCAGCTTCACTATTTTCCAGATATTGGTATTCATGAGACCCATGAAATGCCTCTTAACTAAATTGAGAACTGTGTTGTTCATCGTAGTTTGGATACTCAAACGTGTGAGACAAAGTTAAGAACACTGAAAATTGTAGAACATCATTCTGCATAGCAGCTATAAAAATTATTTCCAAGTTTCACCAATCTCCTATCTCCGCATTTATTTCATGCTTTACAGCAAACTACCTTATGAAATGTGAGTATGGAAAAGTTTCTTTGTAGGTAATCTACTTTATAACCTGAAGGCCTTGTTGATCACTAGTGTTATCTGGTTTCCAAGTCAGCAACAGTAACAACTATACTTTTTTTTTTGGAGAAGCAGACCTAGACACAGTCTCAGATTCTGCCCAAATCCATTGAGAATTTATGTAAAACATTTTGACTTGCATGCCTGTGAAATATCATTTTGGAAACATCAACAAATACTTCTTCAACAGAAATCTGAAGCAGTAGAACTTGCTACCTTAACAACAGCCAGTGGAACAGAAAAGCATCATTAAAAAGAAAATATAGAATGTTTATTTATAATAGTGTCCATTACACAGCAAATGATCCTAAATCAGATCTCAAAGCGTTTTACAAACAGTAATGCAATATGCCTTGGGCAGAATTACAATCCTAAACTTGCTCTTAGCTGCCGGTAAAGAATTAAAAAAGAGTACAGCATACATTCACTACTTCAAAATACTACTAATGGTAGGGGACCAAAACACTAAGATTTGGAATTACATGAAGACCATTCTAAAACAGCTGGACCATAAAAAGCATTTGGCCAAAATGGCCAATTTGGCCTCATTACAGACATGTTAGCGATACAACATATTCTGCTGCCAGGCCACCTTTGGTCAGAATAAAGAAAAAAACAAAACCAAACCCCAAACAAACAACAAAAAAACCCAGGTATGAAAGAATGATTACAAGATGTTAATTATGGCTGCTGTTTACCATAAGAAACCTGCTAGGAATATTTCTTCCCTTCCCTCTCCCCAGTAGGTCCTAACACCCTTTAAGAAGAGTCCATCTGAGAGGCACGCTACATTCACAGCAATAACAATGCAAAATGATACCTCTCTCTTCAAATATCTGGTGTAGTCCAGGCTCCTGACTGCAGTGTCTCATAAACAGCTACACCAGAACACACTGTTGAGATACAACCGAAACTGCTCCACAATTTGAGCCTTTACATAAGAAAGCCAGTAAAGTAAAAAAAAAAAAACAACAAACCAAACCCCAGAGACCGAGATCTTTAGAACAGTCTCATTGCATATAGCTCAGCTAAAAATTAAGAGCAGGTCTGAACATTCAAAATTTCCAAGTATCAGAGTGGGTTTAAATGAGCTCATACTTCTCCCCCCCTTCCCACCTGCCCCCAGATAGTCAGGGAGACCAAAGAAGTATAACACAAATCATTAGCTATATCAGTAAGTTCAGAAAAGAACTCAATAACAGGTATCTCTCAAAAGCTTACAGGCAATCAGAAAAAAAAAAAAGAAAGACTTGGAAAACCACCTTTTTTCTTCCTCAGTTCTGAAATTGGTATAAATAAAATGCAAATGTTGTATTCCTGAGGGTTTTCATAAAATCCATTTCAAGTTCTGTTAATAAAATGATCTACCACAAGATGGGGAGAGGGGGAAGGTTTGTTTGCAAGCTAGAAGGACTTTTTACTGCATAGAAAAGACCCTTCTGGGTGGTGCCTCTGTGAGACATTAGGCAGGGCGGACCAAAGTACCCCAAAGCCATCTTTGTATTCTCTTCATCCTGGATCGTTTCAAAGGCCACAGATTACTTCCATTTTACCTCAAGGTTCACACACATACAGATTACTCCAGATACAAGGTAAAATAATTTATCTTCTATTTGTTCTGAAGAGAACAGAACATACAATTACTTCAGATGCATACTACAGCAGTCTCACAGCAATTTATCACCACACAGAAAGTCTTCCATCTATCTGGATCTTTAAACATTATCAGGGAGCGTCTCTGCAAAAAGACAGTACCTCTCTACCCAAAAGACAGGGCTGGGAGGATAAACTACCTAAGGATCATTAAGATACTCGAATATTTATCATACTAGGAGTTACATATGCTATTACGAAATTAAACCTTTTCCTGTTGTTTTAGCATTTTGCCTTGCTTTGAAGAAAGGGGGAGCAGCAAACTATTTCATCAGTTTGAATATTTTTATGACTATCAGATTAATTTCTACTGTGTCTGAGCCCCATGCAAATAAAACAGCATCTATGCAAAGAAAATAAATATTTCTTTATCCTCTCTTGCCGAACATTTTAAAAACACTGTTCAAAAGGAAGCTGCTTTCAATATTTTTTAAGGGTAGCCTGAAAGCTAGAAGTAATAAAATATAAAGAACATTTTATAAAAATGTGTTAAACATGTAAGCAAGTTTACTGTAAGCCTTCAGATTTAAAAAAAAAAAAATTATCTCAGAATTATTCTGTCTTACACGCAGTTTTCAGGGGAGCCATTTCTGAATAAAGTCTTGTCAGGAAAAAAAAAAGCTATAACCCATCAATTTCTTCAGGAAGTTTGACTTAATTCCACAGGACCAGAAGTTCTTCATATTGTGCAATTAAATAAGTTAAATAAATTAAGTAATACTGCTCTAACAACGTTTCTCCATTATACTAACTTACAACTGGTCTTGCAGTTCCACAATGATATATTCCAGCTGTTCCTTCTCCATCTTATGGGCTAGATCCATATCTTCAATTCTTTGTAACAGCAGTTTATTCTGTGAGACAGATTCAGATAGCTGGTTTTCTCTGAGTCGTACCAATTCTTCAAGGTAACCCTGGAAATGTAAGTGTGAGAAAGCCTTAAAGAACACACTATCAAAAAACCTTTTCATTATGTATGTTCACACTTTTCTGGTTTAAGATGTATACAGTTCTATTTTGGTTTTGTTGTAGTTTTTTCTTTTATTTATTTTTAAACAGACTAGTGAATTGACTTGAGATTAGCATGATGTTTCCTAGTAGGTACCAAGATCAGAACTCTACAATTTAACAGATGCAAGATGTTAGATATTGTGTAAGAAGGACAAGAGTAGAACGTATCTATATGGATCTGCATAGTTAATGAAAGGGATCCAGAATATTATAAAAAAAATCCAACAACATTTTAAAGTTTATTTGAAACCTGCAATACCACATCACACATTAAAATGACAAAAAAGTTATTGAAATAAATACTAATCTACAGTAAAGCATAAGGTAGGACAACTGGTGAAGGTCACTTCTAGTAACATTGGACATGTTCAGCTGGAATGCACACGTGCATTCATGCAATCATTTTTCCAGCTGATACTACAAAAGATATGGGGCAGTCCTAATCACACTCCAACTCCTTAGTCATCTACAAAAATCCACAATGTGAGTATTTAACAGCAGCTGTGACGGGAGGCTGGTCGCAAAGTATGTTCACAAATCTGGTTACAATACTGAGGAACTATTTCTTCTTCTTCTTCAAGCAGAGTCCTAGCTTGTCAGATGCTAGTAACTTCTTAACAATTCTTAGTTAAAGCTGGATACAATGTCTATACTGCATAAAATTTTGCACATTCGTTGAAGCCTGGGGGAAAATGTGTAACTCTTTCACAGGTGCCCACATTGAAAAAACTTTTAAAATGTAGTTTTCATAGACACAGAACAGGCATAGTCTTACTGAGTAAGAAAACAAGTTTCATGTTAACTAGTCGATAAAATGCTACTAACATAACTAATCACTACAAAGATGATTAAGAGTTTGGAACACCTTTCATATGAGAGGAAGCAGAAAGAGCTGGGATTGCTCAGTCCAGGGTTGGGAGGGACGGGAAGCAGGGGGAGGATGAAAATCAGATCAATGTGTATCAATATTTAATGCAGGCTGTAAAGAAGATGGGGTCAGACTCTTTCCACTGGCATCCAGTGAAAAGAGGCAATGGGCACAAGTTGAAATAAAGGAAACTATATAAATGTAGAAAAAAACCTTTTTTTTTTTTTCTCTATTTCTTTTTAAATGAACACTGGAACAGGTTGTTCAGACAGGCTGAAGGGTTTGCATCCCTGAGATACTCACAACCCGAAAGAACAAGGCTCTGAGCAACCTGCTCTAGTCTACGCTTTTCTGAGCAGGGGAGCTGGACTAGACAGTCTCCAGAGGTGTCATCTGACCACAACTATTCTGTGATTCTATGATTACATACAGTTCTATCCACTGAATATATTTATATTTGATAGGAATTTATTTAGTCTCAGTACAAATTCCATGGAATCTTGAGAGCTTTTCAGTATGCCTCGTTCTGCCCTGTCAAATGTTAATGTTATCTTGACTGTTAAGGTACACCTTGGAGTTCTAAGTAGTGCTTTGAAAGTACTAAATGATCCATTAGGACATAAACAAATTTCCTGCCTCCCAGAAATGTCAAACATTCTACAAAAAGATTTTAGATATGAAGCACCAGAAACAGAATACTGTGAACAGTAAATACTTCTATCTATAATGAATGGAGATGCATCATGTCACCAGAGAAAGCACGTAAAACTCCAATATAAAGAGTACACAAATAATTTAGGAGTTTACTACACAAAAGTGAGCAGTTTACACTATTTCAAAATAGGGAAGGGATAATTTCCGCATAAGTAACGAATGTGTAAACTATGACTCATTAATCTGGACAAGCGACAACTTGGAAAAGACAAACTCATCATATTTCCACAGTGGCCTGGAGAGGGCAGGAAGGAAGTGACTGTTCATCATTTTTTAAAATACAAGAGCTAGGCACCATGAAACAAAGCTAGTAGGAGCCAGATTCAAACAACAGAAAAGGAGGTGGCTTTTCACAGAACAGATGGTAGATACACAGAATGCTTTGCCAAAAAAATGATTTGCATGCTAAAAATTTTCATGAGGTCAAGAGGACATTTGACAAGTCTTTGGAAGAGAGATCCATCACGGGCTACTAAACAGACAAACCTTATCAGCTTCAGGAAGTCCTTGAGCTGATAGGCATTGGCCAAGAAAGTATTAGAGGAAAAACAGTACAAACACACTTGCTTTCTTTTTGTTCTTTCCTTCATATCTACTTTGGGCAAGCATCCAAGATAGGATAGTATGATAACCAAGGATTACTTGGTCTAAACCAGCATAGCATTGTTGATCCAACAAAGCAATGCTAGGATTTACCTGGCTAAAATAATACCTGACCCTATCCTACCATTTAAACAACTCAGAAGATACAGATACCTTTACCGTAGCTGAAATCCAATCGCTTGTCATATTGTGACCCTGGTAAACTTCATTCACCTTCATTCATTAATGACTGCACATACTTATTTAAGAGGGACAAAAGGAATTTATCATTGTTTACGCAAAGTTAATAACAATAGAGCAAAAGAAGGATCTATAAGACTTACTCTATCAGTTACTAAAAGTACTTTATTTTTAACTTGGTCATCTTGTCACAAACATCCAGTTTTCCAACACACAGAATGTCAGAAAGCCCCTTTGAAAGAAAACACTCTGTCTCTGATTAACTGGTACCTACTACACTGTGTGCAACTTGATTGTTACTGCAACTTACTGCCATGAAAAAAGGAAGGAAAGAAACACTCAGGAAAGGAATTCTAGTCCATAGTCCATCAAAACCCTTAATGGTCATTTGTTCAAGTTATAATAGAACAGATGCAGTATAGTTGAAGTGAATTAAATAAAAATTTGGCAGGCACATACCAAATGAAAATCAGACAATGGAAAAATTTTCTGTCTGTGGGAATAAAAAAAAAAATTATTTTGCTGCTGCAATTGTCAAGTAGGCATTCTAAAGGAGGACAATGAGGAAAATGTCAACGGCTGTCAGAGTAGCTGTCATTTTGAAAACTGTATTAAATGCACCAAAGTTTTCAAAGAGTTATCATAGTGTGACTAGTGTGACTCACTAAAATAGTAATGCTCAAAAATTTGAAATACTAAGTATTAGATCAGCGAATAACTTCCCACGGAATAGAAATGTTTCTGGATCTTAGGCTCATGAATAAACCAAAACCTCCACTTGCTGCTACAGCCACTGAAGATTTTTCTGCTTTTGTAAACTACCTAGTGATTCTGGCTAATGGATTTGGACATTGTATTTCAATATTGCTTCTACAGATGTCTGTCACAACTTTGATGGGGTATTCTTCATGACGTATCTTTGGAAATGAACCACCTGGATGCACCAAGGAAAATAAACATCTACCTACTGTGATCTCATCAATGCTTCTCCAGAGACAATGACACTTTCCTCATTAAACTCCAAAATATTATATGATGTTTGGGGCGGGGGGAGGAGAGTGGAGTTCAAACTGATCCTATGTTTTTGTCTGGACACAAGGATGAAATGCTGTCTTGAATACATTCTTGTGCTTCAAGGACCGTTGGGGTGGGAATGGTTTTAATTTTGTTTCTGTATTTCAAGAGATTCCTTTTGAATGGTACATTTTGATTTACAAAAGTAGGGGAAATGTCCTCTGTACTGCAGAGAGCCCCAAGAAACACAAGTTCTTTCCATATGGAAAGTGATACTGCACTGGCTGAAAAAATCATACCGGTAACCTGGATGCCAACATTTAAGGTCATATTTAAAAAGCGATTAGACTAAGAGAACAAAAATAGAAGAAATAATCGTATATATATTTTTTAAAAAATACCTCCCACATGCAAGTCTGACTTTTTCACTGCTATTTAGAAAAACTTTAACTAGGTTTTCTCACATGCATTGAAGTAAACCAACTTTGAGTCTACCCTTTCTGTATTAAGACTGGCATTTAGCAATCCATAGCGACATTTACCCTAATGAACTGAACATAGCCAGGACTCCTCCTCAGGTGCATTTTCTCAATCTGGCTATATCTATACTAAAACTCAAGTCCAAAGGACCATGTCTGAAGTCATACTGGTTATTTGGAATGATCACTGACACTAATTCACAAACCATGATCTGAAATAATCTTGGGAGGGTGCTAGCTGTCCCAAGCCAAAACCATAACAACAATCATTCTTATAATTAAAATATACGTGACTGAGTTGGTACTAGGATGTGGGCCCCAGTTAATGTACTGAGTCCCAACTGGCAGAAGACCCATTCTAGATCCCATCTGACCCTCTCTTTTTTCTTCTTTTTTCTTTTTAATCTTTTCATTCTCAGTACAGTGAAAACTAGAAAGGCAGAGAGATACTTTTGTGATTTTAATGCCCTAAACTAAGGGAAGTAATTAAACTTCCAAGCACCCTTATGTAGGCCCAGCCTTTCATATGGTTTACTGTGTTCAGAGTTTCACCAAAACCAAATTCTGACATTAGGAAAAAAGGATACTAACAATACTGATAAAGTTCTTTAAAAACATTAACCATTTGTCTTTCATTTTTCTTCCCCTTCATTTTTCCTGACCTCTCCTTTCTTTTTCTGTGCACTATTTTGTCAGTGTCTATGAACACACTTCCCCCTTCTTTCTGTCACTAGCTAATATGCATCATTTTTTCTATAGTTGTAATATGCTGTTATGAAAAACTGACAAGCACTTTGCTTTTAAAACTACTAAAATGCTAAAAAGTTTGGACATATACTTCACTTCACCTTTAATATACAGTACTTTGGGTGGTAGAAGATGAACCTAGCTTTGGTTTCTATAACAACATCCAATATGCTACCCAAATTATTAAAATCAAATCCAAACACTTTTTTTTTTTCACATTCTAGTTTGGAGCAGGTCTTAAAACTATATATTTTCTAAAAAAGTATCTCAGTATCACTGGGAAGATAGTTCTGCTTTTCATTCCTAGATGGATTACTTTGCTGAGCATTTTTGTTTACCATAAGACTAAATGTTAAAGTTTAACATCATTATCATTATAAAAGCCTTCAACTGTCAGTCTAGCTATATCAATAAAGTTCTGTGGCCTCTAAGGAGGACTAAAATCATGTAGACAGTCATGCTTACTTCAAGCTCATAACCTAACAGCTTCAGAACTACACTGCCTGTAACTCAGATTGGAAAAAGGAGCCAAGACTTCTACATTAGATTGTGAAATCTAATCTCTGAATTATGATGATGATGATTATTATTATTCTCTTTCTCTGCTCCCCAAACCTCTTTTCCCCTCAAATTAAAGAGCAAAGATACTTAGGTACACTGAGGATCATAAAATTGAAGACCATTTACACGAAGCTAAATAATATTTAATATATTTTTCTGCCTTACTTAAATGGCTATGTCACCAGTTGCCTGGTGATGAGCTTTGGCTCCATCACCACCACCACCCCCCCCCAAAAACTAATCTTTTACCTTCTGTTCCAATGCAAGCCGGTACTTCTGTTCTACCCTTTTGCATTTGTTGTACCAACTGTTTTCATCTGTGATGAAAGGAGGACCAATGTTCTCTGGAGTGCTGCCTTCACTGCCACTACTGCCCAGCGTTCTTAGCTCTTCTTCATCACTGCTGATGCTGTCAGAACTGAAGGATTGTATTTATTAGCCAAAAGAAAAGCTGTGTTTGTAAAAATGCAAATTTCCCTTGAAATTAAAGCACCATGGTTCTTAAAGATATCTAAAGCTCTGTAAACCAGAAAGAATCTAAATGTTGGGATAGATAACCAAATACAACTTATATTTCAAGCTTTTATTTGCACAGAAATTTAAAGAACAGGCAAAGATCTGCCTGTGATCTTAGTCAAGTTGTTTTAGGCAAGTCAGATAACTGTATGTGGGATACTCTCCTGGAATACGAAGGACCAATGCATTACAATATGCTACCTAAGGAAATGGTGACTTAATCTTTCCCTTCACAAATTCAGGGCAACAGGTAGTATCTGAAAATAAATTGTATTTGTTTCTAAAAATGCAGAAAAATAAAAAAGTGATTGGCGTTATGCTAAATCACGATAAATTTAAATGAGAATGTATAGTTATGGTTATAGCGAAGATCATGCGCCTGTTATTTCACAGAAAATAACTATCTCCCTACACAGTATTCAGATTCATTGTTAAAATATCTCCATATCATCCAGAATGATGAGTATGTCAGTATGGCAGAGAATTCAGACATCTGTCTCAGAGAAGAATTTTAATTTCTCCCAATATGCATTTGAAATCTTCCCTTACAACTACGCTTTCCACCACATTAAGAGCATTTACTAGTTTAAGTAGCGATTTCTGCAACCCCATGGACCCTGCTGTGATGCAAATTCTGCTTTAACTGAACCATGCAATCTGTCATTAACATGTAAGCTAATAAGAACTTCAAGAGAATAACTAGGATGTTTCATGTTCAATTGTACATCTTCAAGACTATTCCTAACTCCCAACAGCTTTCTTCATTTTGGCAAACTGAATAATACAACACATCCCATTAATTTCCATGCTTTTTGGAGATGCCAAATTGGTATCTGATCTGTCAGACAGTGATAATTCTTTTCATTATTAATCATATGGCTGATCAGAGGAGCTAAATGTAGCTGGAAGGTCAGACTATATACGCAACTGGTCATGATTTTCTATTATGTGCTAGCTGCTCACACTGCATGCTGCTTATCTGTCATATCTTACCGTTTACCAGGGCATATCTAATTTTTAATAACTACTTTTAAATATATGGCTACACAGAAAAGGCCCAAGAGAAAGGACAACTCGGTCTGGTGATCTTCAAAGGAAACAAAATATTTGTTTCCTGTTGAACTGTGATTCTAATCCAAGTAAACAAAGTTAGCATGACTTGCTCTGATGAGTCATGTAATAATTCCATCAGTCTGAAAAAGCAAGGTAGCTGAGTGTAGAGGTTTGTATTTAAATATGGATATTTTTTTGAATGGGAAATGAAAAGTAAGAGGCTCAGTATGAAGTAAAATTTTGCCAATGAAATAAAATTTAAAAAGTAGCGTAAAGATAAGAAGTACCTTTGTGTGAACTTCAAGTACGGTGTATAATCTATGACAGCTGGAAAGCTGCCATCCAATCCCTCACCCTTCAGACAAAAACTGATAAAACAGAGAAATAATGAAAACATTATAACAAGAAAATTAAATTACAGTGACAGTTGAATCTTATCATTGTGAAATTTGATTTTTCTTAATTTTTGGTAGTATGAAAGGCCTACAGTATTTAACACTGAAACCCTACTCAGCCAAGCTAGACTGTTTAATATTAAATGAGAGTCACTGGCAATATTATACGATAATGAAAACCCCAACAAACAGAAATTCCACATAATCAGGGAATAAACCTTAATTTTTAAATATTCACTTTTATTCTGAAAATACAGATGGATTGCAAGGGAATAACAGGAAAAGGAAAGTTAGCTGAAGCAAGAGAAACAGAAAGGCTATGCATGAGGCTTGGAATCTTCAGTATTTAAGCTCATTTAAAGTGTTTACAAAGTGCTTATGTAACCATCCTACTAACTTTAAGTCAAAAATCAGTTCTCAAAAATATTTCAGAGTCTTTCTCCTTTTAGATACTTTCTGGTGTTGGGCTGCAGGAAGATGAGGAACACTAATAAAACTAACTTTCAGAAAATGTTTTTAAATGGCTGTAGCTTTATAAAGCTCTCATCTACACTGCAGTCTTTTTGTACTGGATATAAAAGATTGTATTTGAATCACGTTTAATTATCAGAGAAGTGACAAAATTAATTATGCTTCCACAAGCCTCATATTGCTCACTCCTCCTATCTCTGTCATCAAAAACCAGTTTCTAGTAAGACACAGCTTTTGCTAACTTAATTGCAAAGTGCCATTTTTGACAACACAGTCACTTAAATGGTACTTGGGAAGTACATCTGAAGGGTTTTTTTTTTTCTCTAAGAAGAGAAAAGCAAAGAAAACAACAAAAAGCACCCCTGCAAACCCACAATTGTTTTAAGCAGACACATAATTCCACATTGCTGTGAGGGGGAAAAAATATTTGGATTCTGTTCTCACCTGCGTTCCCCCATCCCCACCCCAAATTCTTATTTACAGTTCCACATAGAAAAGCCAGTCAACATTTATAAGAGACTGTTTGAACTGAAAAAACCAAAAATCTCAAATATAACATGCAAAGCATGGCTACAGCTTCTCAGCCATTCAAACCACAATACTACAAATTATACGTGGCACAATAAAAATGCTCCTGTAGCACTATGTTCCTATTTTGCCCAGAAAATTTCTAGGCTCTTAAAAGCTACATCGACAAAAATTTAGATGTCTCCAGCAAGAACCATTCATTACTCTGAATACTATTAACAGATGCCTATAAAAATGCTTATATTAGAAATCAGAGAGCAAAAGAAGAGCAAGAACACTCATAAAGCAAAGCTCTCATACCAGTAGTACGTATCACTGAGGCTTATGCGAGACAAACACAGTCAATTGATGATTATTTATGTGAGGTTTTACATACTGCAGACCTGCTCTTGCTATGCTTCTTATTCATGTATAGCTATAGTCCTTCCGAGTGTCGTGCTAATACAGAAGCAGTTTAATCTCATATGGTGTAAAGCTTAAACTAATAAAATCTGGTAAGACTTGAATTTGCTGTACACAAGGCTCTCTCACCACCCTGCAGCATGCTTTCTTTTCCCAGAACATATGTTGAGGATGCAGTTAAGCCAATGTAATGACTAAATGCTGGCAAAAGAAGCTATCTTGCGTTTTCAACCTCTCCCTCCCCATTTCTTCTTTCTTTTTTGGTTTTTTTTTTAAAAAACCCAAACAACCAGACATTCCCTTTCCCCTCCTTACAGTGGTATCGGCACTTATCTGACTCCATAATGAGCTAGTTCAGCCATCAAGACCTGAATTTTTAGGTTTTTTCCCCTTTAGCATCCAGTTGCAGTTCCACAGGCAGCTGAACTACATGCTCACTGCCACCAGAAAGAGAAGATGTAACTCAATCCTTTTTATTCCTTCTCTTCTCTAAGCCTTATAGTCCCATCATATCATCTCTGCCACTGATAAGAAGCTTCGATGTACCAAACTAGCTAACAAAAGAACTATCCTGTCTTCTTACTGGGTATTTTTTTTACTCTTTAACAAGTTAAGCTGGCTCACAGAGAGGTCCAACAAGCTTCAAAACTGGTATAAGGGTACATAAGCAGGAGCAAATCTCCAAAGGCCTTTTGGCAACTGTCAATCACTCAGTGCATCCAGTGAGACTATGTGCTGTTTTCTGCCAGTTTATCTCCTAAACTGGTTTATGACAAGCATTAATGCTGCCGCGGGGTAAATATTAACAGTGGACTGCCAGAAAACTGGAGAAAAGCATTATGACTTTCCTTTTCCCTATGCTGTACTATGATGAAACCCTTCTCCAGTGGCTCTGTATAAAGCTAAGTGGGCCCAACCAGGCGTATTAACAGGGTCTTGCACCAGCCAGGTTTGATCTTTTCATAGGCACTCTGGTCTTTATAACTTGTTGATGTTTTTTATATATGTATACAGACATATATACACACACGAATATGTTTTTTACATTATCCAGGGTGTGCTTGCACCTTCATTACCCCAAAACACAGAGTTAATCATATAACAAAGCACACAAAAGTCCACCTAGAGATCACAAAGATAAATTCATGTATTCTGATGATACTTTGCAGTTTGGCTGCAGTTAATTATAACACAAATTAATATTAAACAGACATTTGTAGGTTAAGCTTTTAAAAATCTAGAAGTGCTAAAGTTAAATATACCTACACCTTCTATGTAATGTATGCAGTTACAATGGTGTCATTGAGTACCAGGGCATAACCATGTACTTAATTACACAGTTTTCCTTACAGTTTAAAAATAACTTCAAAAGATTCAATTGTCTGTAAGTTTCACTTAATAGGTTTGAAATACCTTCTGCAATTATACCTCTGATTGCTTTCAGGATTTTAATATCTGAAAGAAAGACCTTGTAATAATGCAGCTATAGAAACTATGGCACAACTTTGTTCTTATCTAGAAGAGCTGTTCAAGATCAATCTTTCTCCCTTCCTCTCCTCCCCCCCACCTAAGTTTTGTGTCTCAAACTATCAAGGGAATCTAACAATGTTTTCCATAATATGTTGATATATAAGTACTTTCCCTGAACATTTTGTTTTGAAGCATGCAAATATAATACCTGAAATCAATTGCATTGAGTCCCAACAGCATACCAGCAAGCATATTTGCTTCTTCACCAAGAACAATTGCTCCATCCTCATAAAATCTCCTTCAATAAAAAAGAAATTAGTTCAGTTAATACCATTTTCTCTCAAATAATAGTAGGGTTTTCCATAGTTAACAGAAAACTGGAGAAATCCAGTTTAAATAAAAACCAACTCATGTGAACCCCAAGGGCATTCATGTTTCACTTCAAATAAAGCAAACCAATACACTGCACAGCACAAAACACCACAATCTTGGAGCACATAAAAATTTAGACAGAAGCAAAAAGAATTTACAATATTAGCCCTAAGAAAGAATAGAACAGGATGGACAAAATGCAAAGAAAATGATGAAGATATCTTATACTTTACTGCTGAAAGGAAGAATTTGTGTCACATACATAAAAAAAATTATTCTACCCTATTAAAAAAAAAGTTTTCTCTCACAATTGTACTTGCAGGCTCTTTTAAAGTTCAGCATTCATTCTTCATTCTTAGTACTTGATTATTTTTTAAAAAAATATTTTCACAAATCAGCTATTTTCCAGGTAGCATACTTTTCTAAAATACTGCATGCTGGGAATATGCATGCTTCAGCCAGTTACTCTAAGATTTAAAATTTTCATTATTTGAAGGAGGACTATTTTGTTAACACCATTTTTTGTTGTAAAACACCAGTTGGCCAAAACTTTAAAACTCCATGGCTTGATCTCAAAATACACTACACATACCCTGGTATATGCAGACTTGTGAAGGCTGCTTGAGAACAGTGACCAATAAAACAACAATTTTAAAGTCTGCATTCCCTCATGACCTCCCCGATTCTCTTCCATTTATTATATTTTCTCCTCCCAACTACCACAGAAGCTTCCAGACAGAAATGTTCCATGCACAGGGCAGGCGAATAGGACCTGACATTGCCATGCATGGCCTTGTGAAAAAGGCATTTAGTCCATTTAGCAAAGCAGTACACAACTTCAATTTCTGTGTTAAAGGAGTCTTGGCAGCAGCAGAGGCAGAAGGGTCACTAGAATTCACCTGAGTGTTACATGTGGAAAGAGGGAAACCAAGAGCTGTTGAGTACCAAAGGCAAGGTTGAAAGGTCACTTACCAGAAACTGAGATGCATAGTCCACCTACACATTCTAGCAAGAAGGTGCCAGGTTATTGAATGCAACCTATCTTTCAGACAAATACCAGCAACACTGCCCTACCAAAAGGTCTATCCATTTTAAGAACTGCATGAGAGCATTGGGATGGCTCAGAGTTCAAGTTGGCTGCATGGCAAACATCCAGAAAAGACATGTTTTAGGGCACAGCTCCAAAGACTGAACTGTGTTACAATGCACGCTGTCAGAAGTTCCAATTTTCCAGTTTCATAACAGACATCCATTTGCTATAAGGAAATGAGTTGTCCAAGACCTTGGATGTTCTCAGTGGAAGCAAGAAATCTGGAAGACTTCCCTAGGGAAAACAGAGCTTATAGGCCTGACACTGAGGCTATGATGTACAGACTCAGCTCTCTACCCCTCTGCCTTCAGGAAAGGCACCAGGAGGCTAAACTGGCCACTGGTTGAGACAGAATACTGAGCTAGAGGGACTTTACAGTCGATTCAGTACAGTTACTCTTGTTTGTGAACTAACAGCAATGCTCCCAGTACAAGCTGATTACAAACTGGCATTTGTAAAATCACTGCCAGGTACCACTCTGTACTGTGGTCAGTTAATCTTGTAAAACGATGCCTAGGAAGTAACCACACAAAAAAGGCAGGGAATACTTGTAAGGGTGAGACACAGATGTTAGTCTGACAATGGCAACGTTTCTTAAACCAGCTACCGTAATCCAGCTGAAACAACAGTCCCCTTGGAAAACTCACAGATTTTCAGTGTTATGCAGTTGACATCTCACAACAAAACAGTCTACTTTAACTTAAGAGTCTGTGCTGACCAATTTGTTAGAAAAATAATCACGTGCCCATGCTTAATCCAACCCCTTCCAAGTACAATATGCAGATCCAGCACTAAAAATGTGCTGCTTTATTAAAGGACTAGCCCTAAGATCAGGCACCTCAACACAACAGCAAGGTTTAAAAAGAGCTAGCAGTATGACAGACGAATCACATATTGCACATACACATGTGTAACATATGATTCCTATAGTTTGTATAGATAATTATTAAATATACATATAGCACAATACATAATTCAAAATGCTAAATAAATGGTGGAAAGCATCACCAAAAAATCAGGCCACTTATTAGGTATCCAAAATTCCACTCAGGAAAAGAGAACATGTCCATTATTGCTAGTGGATTTGAAAGCCACGCTACCAAGATCTGAAACTGTAACTTTTGTTTCCATGAGATGTATTTAAAATATTACTTCAAAACAAACTTTGCACTTACTATGTTTGGAATGCAAGAGAGGTTGTTTCCAAAAGCTATACCACTGAAAGAACATTCAAATATATGAAACATTAACATGTTTAAATAAATTAATTTGAAACTGCTAATAAAATAATATCACTGTTACCCATTTGCAAACAAACCACGCTACCAAACGGACAAAGAGTGTCTTTTCAGTTTGAGACAACATGAGAGAATCTTTTCCAGAAATTTTTGTTTTGTGAGCTTCTTATCTACTGTAAATGCAAGCAAATCTGGGTAAAATAAAGATGACAGGTCTGGAAACTTCAATAAAATGGCATGTTTACCTAGTTGTGTTTCAAAGTCACCTTAATATTGGCAAAATATATGGAGATCTGCGGACAAATAGTATTACACACAGAAACAATATTCTAAATGAACAGAAGTCCTTACAGAGAAAATTTGTATTGCTTAAATAGTCCATTCAGTCTAACACTTTTAGAGTTCAAATCAGGTACCACAACATGTTACAGACTCACTCATATTTAAATGGCTTAATCATAAACCTACAAGACACACTTGTTACAGGATAAAGCATCATGTAATAATCACATTATCTAGAACCAGCCCAAAACCGCCAGAGTATTTTCTATCACAAAGCATATTCTTGTCCATAATGCGTTTTACCATGAGAAGGTACAAAAAAAATCTGTTGCACATTTTTGATATTACATCAAGAATCCTAGCTATGCCTGATCACTAATTCCGTTCTTCTATATTTCTCAAAAGTTTCCTGGAATTCTCTTCCTTTCTTCTTCAAGAAAAGTTCCTACAAAAATTATTTTTTACTAAGTCTCTAGGGTTTTCTGTCAACTATACCTAATTTTGAAAGGAACATCTTCTATCCTTATCAGGCTACAATTTCAGAATTAGTCCCTTCTTTAGAGAGGTTTTCTTCTCTTTTGACCTTTCAAGAATTCCAGACTTACTTCCACATTTTTAAGATCACAAAGAGATATTCAGTTTTGCAGTTTTACCTCTGCTAAAATCCAATCAATTGACACAGACTCCAGATATCTTTTACTAGGTTACAGCTCTTTTACTAGTGACATCCTTTCCTGTACAAATCAAGTGAAACATTCACTTTCAAACCTAAGTCCGTCACCTAAGCAACATTTGCTAAAATATTGCAAAAATAAAAGTCTTAGAGACCTGGTTGTTTTGAAGTCTCTCAGAGCTGTGGAAATATATTCAGACAAATGCTTTTCCATAAGTGCTACTCTGATCCAGGCACGACCCTGCAAGAAGAAACAGATATCAAATATTTAAGTATTATAGAATGAAACACTTAATTTTACATCTGAAAATGAATACAGTTGATCTACCTGGGTGAAATGAACTGATTAATAAAATTACCACTAAAAAGAAATTGTTGCTAAGAGGTACTTCAATATAGAATATTTCGAAATAGAAAATGCTTGATTTAATTATATACTCCAGCCTTTTGAAAATCTCATGTGCATAAGTGTTAGCAGATCAGGGCAGAAAGCTTTTCATTTTAAAGTCAATGGTGTTGGAAGCATCCAATCAGTTCCACTGTAAAGCAGCAGTAACTTACCCTCAAGGTGATTTAAGAACTAATTCTCTGTGTTCATTAAAATATTTGTGGGATCAATAAAAAAATTGGTTTTTAAATTTGGTGACATATTTTTATTATGTAATTTGCATAAATTATTTTTTCCCCTCAGTAAGGATGTTATTATAGAAGGTGCACATAACATACAGGAATAAAATCAAATCAGAGAGGCCTAAAACTTGTACTCTAAAAGTAAAACTTCGTTCAAACAATTCTATAAACAACAGCAATAGCTTCAAAAATAACCTTTAGGAATGTATGTTGCATTATGTTTACAGGTCTAGTGCACAGGATTGTAGTTTACAAGAAAGAGACATTTCAAATGGCTGCCATAGTTATGTTCGTCATTTTGAAAACACCAGGAACATTTCTTGTAACCCATACAAACTTACAAAGAGTTATGTAAGAAGACATCTTTCTGCTTAATATATTTGGTGCTTATTGACATCTAGCTGAAAGTCACTACAAACATTCTACCAAACTCACCTGTAGTAGATTATAATCCTGCTTTTAATTTATATAGACCTAGATAAAACTAAACTTACAATGAGATAGGCAGATGCTAAATAACAACAACAACAAAAAAATTGCTTTCATAAATACCAACAACACAGCAAAAACTTTAATGTAGAATGCACTAAAATTAAAAGGATGGTTATCTGGATATCTGCCTTTATGTTGCAGTTATTTAGAACATGAGTGAAACAGCCAAATCCTGCTGCTGCTTAGCTGACACCTAAAGCCTAAACCCCACTTTCACTGGAGCTGCAAACTAGCACTGGCAAACCCTTATTAACAGCTTCTAGGCTGAAGCAGACACCCATTTGGACCATGAGTAAAACTGATGCATACCACTGGTATCTGTGTCAACGAGCCTCCAACCTTTTCAGGTATGGACATCCAAAATACTCCCACATGCACCTTTAAAAATGCAACACTGCTTTCCTTACTTGCTGCACAAATTAGCTTCTTTGTTTGCTATTTGGCATGGAGTTTTCCACAGAGTAAAAGAAAATTTTAAGTATTTGAGAAAATAGCTTTGCATCTTATTATCTACTGAATTTAAATATTCATATCTATTAAAAATCTTGGAATTCAGAATGCAAGCAATATAATCATCAGATTCTAGAACACTAGTCTCTCCAGAAAATATTCGGAAATAAGTTCTCCAAATTATCTGAACTTCCAGATCTCAACATAAGCAAGAAGAAAAGATGCATGACTTAAATGATCAGTCTACTACTCCAGTACATTGGAGTGCTAGGAAGAGCATGTAATATTCTGGACAGGAAAACCATTCAATAGATTTTTCCCACAGAATCTCAGGTGTTTCAAAGCTTTCATACAATTTACAGATAGTTTACTATATAAAATTTAAAACTCAGTATATACAAAAGAAGAAAAGGAGCAACAGTATACATAGCAAATAAGCTGTTCTGCAATACTATGGATCATCAGAATGGCTGCTCAGACATCTACTAGATTCATGGTGCTGCCTGATCTAAGAATCATCTTATTTAAGAAAATTGTAGTTGCATAAACACCTGTAATTTAAATTGTATTAACCACGGTCATGACCCTGAAAAAAGCCTACGAAGTTTTGTATATAACAAGCTAAATATTTCCACTTCACCAACTGTGAATAATCCAGAGTATAATAAAAATCTGGAACCACAGGATTTTTAAAATGGCCATGGCACAAAGTTTGGTGACTTGTTCAAACAACTGATTCCAGTTCATTTAGGAATAAAGTTAAGAACATTAATTTGTGCATCCTTTTATACTACTTACACTTTCAGGTCAGAAGGTTCTCAGTTATCAGTCAAGGCTGCTTTACACAGAAATACAAACTATTGAAAAGCATTCCCATCTAGTAAAAAGAACATGTAATATCTGTCCAACAGTATTTTCTTTAAGGTGTTGGCCTATGTTGTCTCACACTATTAAGTTTTAATGATAGGTCATTTTAAAGCTTATTCTTACTCAGTTCATATGCATATAAACACATTAAATTGTTACTTCCTTAATGTTTCCATCGTAAATACAATCAGGAAATGTGTTGTCATTTCTATATAGATCCTTTAAAATGATGGATCTTTATTTGCAAATAAATCTATTGAAGGTTTCCCGCACAGTTACACCAACAAACTCAAGAGCTGATAGCAACTTTTCTATTAGTGCATAAGTTATATACAAAACAAAATTATACTTAAGTTAGGGGAAAAAATACCAAATTTCTACAATTTTAAAGTAATATTTGTTAAGCATGACCACATTAACTTAATTTCTCTCAACATAATGCATTTTCAAAAAATTATGCAAATTCGAAAATGCGAAGGCAGTAATTTAAAATACAACATGCACACTGAATAGAGAATTTGAGATTTATTCTACTGAATAACATGAACTTAAAATGAAACACAGGCTTCAAGTGTTTTTTTAAAAAATAAATATTTACTAGGTACATATAAAAATAATTATTTCAAACAATGATAAATTTTGTGGGGCAAGCTTAGTAATATGTTTTTCTTCTGGGTACAGAAATGTCAGCTATATTTTACATAAAAATGTAATACAAAAGTAAATTTGACCTTTCTCTTCCCTACCTTAGCTCTAGAAGAACCGACATTCTCCATGTTCTCAATACTGCAGATGCAATTGTGAGAGACTTTTCGGCAAGCTACTCGAATGTAGTCCCAGAAACTACGAGGACTTTCATAGCCGAACCAGGTGATCTGACCTTAAATCAAAATACAAGATATGTAAAGATTTATGAACCTCCCTCTCTGCTTGTTGGTGATAAACATAATTAAAATACTTCCCTATAGGTTGCCTGCACTGACAGGATTTTGTAGTAGCAAATCCATAAATTCCTACTGAAAACTGGCTGTAGAACAGGTGTAAAAAAACCCCAAACTTACATTATGCAGCTCACCCTGGTTTGAAACTGATGCACAAAAAGAAGTTTGGGGCTTTTGTGTACATATGTGTATTCTGTCGTTTTTTTCCTTGTTAGTATGTTATAATAATATGCAAGCGTTCTTCAGGGGACTCTTAAATCACAATAGAGCACACACTGTTGTGTGTGGTATGATGCAAGAAGTATTTCTGTTATTTGTTTTAGGTAGTACCGCATGTTTTCACCAATACAGTCAAAGAGACTTTTATTCTTTAAAAAAAAAAAATTTATATATGTATAAAAGACAATTGTTTGCTATGGTAGTGTTAGCTTTACCTTAGGAGCAGATTGGAATTTTTCAAAATGTGCTTTCATTGAAGGAGAAATTGATGCATGATCAAAAAAGTTGTGCAGTCACAATTTATTTTGAGTACACACAGAACATTCCTTGGGAAGTTGACCAAAATCAATTGAGCAAATCAGTATCTCTTCATAATTTTTTTTCCAGCTTGGAATGTATTGCAGTTAGAAAACAAAAGGCAAAATTACACACTACTTGCAACCACTCCACACTAAATAAACTTCATCACAGATACAACAGTTTAGCCCCATTTTTCAGACTGAACAGCATACAACTGCAAACAGGTATGTAAAAAGTAAGATGAACATTGCCCTCTGGTGACTGCCATTATCACGTACGTGCAAAACCTTTTCTCCATTTAAAATGAAATTTTATTTTAAGCTAACTTTATTTTATTTCAAGTTTTGAGTTGTACTTCTGAAGCTTTACTAATTTATCAGAAAGACTTCTAATTCTTTTGCTGTTAGAAAGCTCAGATTTCAAGAAAGAATATATTAAACTGATATTGCAAATCATACATACTGAAAATAAAACACCAAAATACAATGACAAGGATATTTTCATCTAGCATGACTTATCTTAGCTCCATGCATAGCCAGAGCAGTGTCAAGGATCCCCCTATGATTTTAAGAAATTCAAGTGGTGCAGTTTTTTTTCCCTAGAGGGTGCATTTAACTTGACTTTGTGGCTCATCTGCTTACTTCGCCACATGGATTTATTTATTAAATTCAAAGCTTGATAAAAGACTTAGATTAAAAAAAAAAAAGGCAGGAAGAATTAATATATACTACACCATATGCCAAAGAAAAAACAAAATCCCAAGGTGCTTCAGTTACTGTAGATTCAGATCTTCTCAGCTCTCAGGACTAAAACAAAGGAATTTCCATGAGCTAAATGCTCTTATCAACTTAGACTCTTTGTTGGAATGCCTAG